CAGAGTCAAATACGTCGGACACATTATTTCTGAAGACGGTATAGAACCCGATCCTGACAAGATTGAAAAGATAGAAAATTGGCCACGCCCCACAACACCGGAAGACGTTCGCAAATTCCTTGGTTTTGCCGGGTACTATCGCAAATTCATACATGATTTTTCCAAGATTGCAAGACCGTTAACGGACATTATGCCAGCACCACAAATGTCAAAAAGGAAAACTAAGCGTCAAGGAGCACCATCATCATGGCACTGGGGTGACAAAGAGGAACATGCTTTCCAAGAATTGAAACAACGACTATCTACACCACCAGTTCTAGGATATCCTGATTATTCAAAACCGTTTGAAATACATACCGACGCGTGTGGCACAGGACTAGGAGCCATACTTTACCAAGAACAGAATGGAAAGAAACACGTTATATCATATGCCAGCAGAGGACTATCAAAATCTGAACGAAATTATCCAGCACACAAACTTGAATTTTTGGCACTCAAATGGGCAGTTACTGAAAAGTTTAAGGATTACTTGTATGGAAGCCGTTTTACAGTCGTCACCGATAATAACCCACTAACTTATGTACTATCAACAGCAAAACTAGACGCTACAGGGCATAGATGGGTTGCAGCTATAGCTACATTTGATTTCGACATAATTTACAGAAGTGGTAAACAAAACACTGATGCAGATGCACTTTCACGACTACCAGAATCAACACAACAAAAAATGTCAATAAAAAGCGAATCAATTAAAGCCATTTGCGATGCTATTCAACCTGTACCATACATCAACTGCTTATCTGGAACACCTGAGAAAGAACCAGAAGCCACAGAACTGAACTCTTACTGTAATATTGACATACGAAAAGAACAACGCAGCGACCCAGTATTGAAATCTTGGTTTACCAGCATTCAACAAAGACGACGTCCAAGAAGAGCCGAAGTAGTAAAATCACCTCAACATCTCTTCATCTTCAACAATTTCGACAAACTAAAATTCATACAAGGAATTTTATACAGAGAGATAATTAGCGATGGTAAACCGTTGACACAACTTGTACTACCTAAATCCTGTGTCGAAACCGTACTTACCCAATTACACAACGATATGGGACATCAAGGCAGAGACAGAACTTTGTCGTTAGTCAAAGATCGTTTTATATGGCAAGGGATGAGTAAAGATGTTGAAGACTGGGTAAGCAACTGCGGGAGATGCATCAGACGAAAACAGCCACTTAACCACCGTGCACCACTCATCAGCATCGAAACCAAGCAACCGATGGAACTTGTATGTATGGACTTCTTAACCCTGGAAAAATCGAAAGGTGGTTTTGAAAACATCCTTGTTATCACTGATCATTTCACTCGTTATGCTGTAGCCATACCAACGAAAAATCAAACTGCTCGAACAACAGCTGAAGCATTCCTGAATCATTTCATCTTGCATTATGGTCTACCAAAACGAATTCATGCAGATCAAGGGCCAAATTTCGAAAGTAAAATCATCAAGGAATTATGCACAATTACAGGAATGGAGAAATCACGAACTACTAGCTATCATCCAATGGGCAACGGTTTAACAGAAAGATTCAACCGTACACTACTAAACATGCTAGGAACATTGGATCCGAATAAAAAACATGACTGGAAATCCCATATCACCGGATTAGTACATGCGTTTAACTGCACCAGACAAGCTAGTACAGGATTTGCGCCGTATTACTTAATGTTCGGCAGAAACCCACGGCTACCGATAGATGTCGCATTTGGACTGGAGACAAATACATGCAAAGAACCAACAACGAAATATGCAAAAACACTGAAAGAACGACTAAAAATTGCATATGAGCAAGCAAGGAAATCAGTTGAAACAGCACAAGGTAGACAAAAAGACAACTATGATAAAAAGATAAGAGGAGCAGTTCTTGAAGTAGGAGACCGTGTACTTGTTCGCATCGTAGCATTTGATGGTAAGCATAAGATCTCAGATAAGTGGGAAACAGAACCATACATCGTTAAAGAGCAACCCAACACAGAAACACCAGTATTTGTAGTACAGAAAGAAAGTGGGCAAGGCCGGACAAGAACTTTACACCGGAATTTACTACTGCCAATTGGATTTTTGGATAAATATTTAGGAAATGACCAACACAGATCTACTCCGGATACACCAACAAAACATGAGCGTTCTGAACCAGGAAATAACCCAACAGTTATTGACCATAAGGACAGCGACGACCATGATGATGATTATGAGTATTTCATACCTACAGAAGTCACAGATAGCAACAATTTAGCACCTGTTGATCTCACTGTGGACCAGCCTGTAGATGACAGTTTAATCCCCGGCCGGACCGATGACGATCGACAACCAGTTGAGGGATTACAAGACACAGGAACTGAGGAGGACGCTTCTCTGTCTGTAGATGAAGATATAGATGATCCTGTTCGTCTTGATGATGATGCAAATGCAGTAGAACTTGAAGATGATACTTCAGATGAAATTCCGGTAAACCAAAACATCGATGAGGAATCAGATAGCAGTGATGAACCAACGCCAAGACCTGGTAGACGTTCACTGCCAGCAAGGACAACTAGAGGGAAACTTCCAAAGAAATACGATGGTTTTATGATGCAACAGTCAACCAATTCCAAGCCATCAGATTGGTTAGAAAGAGCCAACTTCCTGTCTCAAGCTGTATCGTCAGGTCTTTTTCAAGGAATGGAGCAAGTTGTAACCAATGCCATCTTGAAGATTGTTACAGACCAGTAGTAACGTACGATGCTTTACTGACAGAGACGTCACCCTTTCATGGAGGGGAGGACATGGCGATGTTTTTGACTGTTGAGACTGCGAGGACGCATTCTCCAATGCGGGGGAGAATGTGGCAGCGATTTATAGTATTCTTTTTATATTTTACTTTGTATTTTATAACTTAACCAATTTTCCATTTCAGCGAATTATTTCAATAAACTATAAAAATATTTAATTTGATCTAAAGTTGTTAAAATATTTTGAAGACATTTTCTGAACTCATTACGCTATAGCTTTCCGTTTTCCAAATTTAGTCCCTGCTATGGTGTAATGAATAATTGACCATTGAAGCATATGATTATCCTGTATTGAACCCCATACAGTTAGTACTGCAGTGCAGGTATGACGTTTTCATGTACTATTGGTTAGTACAGTGAGTACATTTAAGTTCTGCCGCATTGGACTTTTCGATGGTATTCATTGGGTAATTTGTACATTATTTTCTATTGGCTCTGTCTTGCTATTTCACTCACGGTTTTCATTGTGAGGTTTATATTATTTGGAACTTTCTTTGAAGTTAGATGTTATTTGTACCTGACTATTATTCTGGACCTTTTTGGACATTTTTGACAGTAAGTTTTATACATTTTGTAAAGTAGTGCTCTTTCCGATCATATATTTTGAACTATATTTTGATTAGAATAATTCTCACATTTTTGTAACTAAGTGTTTAAGAGTACATCTCATAATTTACAAGCTTAGAATTATTACGATTTCATCTATTGTAAATATAGCTATTCTATTGTATCTTTTGAAATCGTTGAATTTAATTTATTGTCTTGTCAAGATGACATAACACTTAATTTATATATTTTTAATTGGCCTGAAATTGAATAGACTTTGTCACAGTATTTTGAATGTTCATTTTGAACATGGGTATTTATAATCGTATATTATTTTCAGAACATACCATATAGTGTCCTGGAATAATTGTATTAGTGTTTATGGCAGTGGATTTTGATAACTCAATCCCACATATTGGTAAGGATTAATTCCTTATTCTTTATAGATTGTTCATTTTGTAATAGTTGCTTTCACAGCCAAATTGGCAACGAAATTGTATTTTATTCTATTTCTCTTTCGGCACATTTTAATAATTCTACATTGAAACTGTAAAGCGTATTGGCGCTTTCTAAAATGAAGCACGGTTGTGTAGATTGCAATGCAATCCGAAACTTTGATATGTACTTTTAAATTAGCTATTTGTAATTGTGACACAAGTTAATCATGATTGTGTTTAATCATACTAGTGTTTAATATTGCTTGTGTTTAATAATGCTATGTAACATTTGTAAAATTGCTTATGATATTTGCTATTATTTTGCAGAGTTACATTTTCCTGGTATATAATAAAGTATTTGAACCAGTTGGAGTCTATAATTAAAAGCCCTTATAAGACCCTATCACATCTTCATTTGATTCCTCTTTACAATCAACCCAACCGTTGCATCATTCATTCAAGACAAATGTATGATAACGTGATTCTTACCTTTACAATTGTCTTCATCTGATCCGTCTTTACAATCAACCCAACCTTGAATCGTTCACCCTAGAAACATATATGATCACGCGATTCTTATCTTCACAATTTTCTTCATCTGATCTGTACTTACAATCCTTTCAACCTTCGAATCGTTCCCTCCGGACGCATGTTTGATCTCGTGATTTTTACCTCTTTACAATCTGTCCAACCGTTGCATCGTTCACTCCAGACACACCTGTGACTTAAAACCTTCATAATTTTCTTCATCTGGACCGTCTGTGCAATCCATCCAACCGTTACATCGTTCACTCCAGACACATCTATAATCACGTAATTCTTACCTTCACAATTTTCTTCATCTGGTCCGTCTTAACAATCCATCCAACCGTTATATTGTTCACCCAGACACGTGATTCTTATCTGAACAAATGTCTTCATCTGATCCGTCTTTACAATCCACCCAACCGTTGAATCGTTCACCCTGAAACATGTATAATCACGCGATTCTTACCTTCATAATTGTCTTTATGTCTTTATCTGATCAGTATTAAAAATCCATCCAACCGTTACATCGTTCATCCGGGCATATCTATAATCATATGATGCTTACCTTCACAATTTTCTTCATCTGATCCGTCTTTACAATCCATCCAACCGTTGAATCGTTTACCCAAGGCATATCTATGATCATGTGATACTTACCTTCACAATTGTCTTCATCTGATCCGTCTTTACAATCCAACCATCCGTTACATTGTTCACCCCAGAAACATATATGATCATTGCATTTTATTTTTTGCGTAGGACATTCATATTCTAAAAGAATGAATGAGGGAGAATTGTAACAGTTCAGTCTATATTTCATGACTATAATAATTATATTTCTCTCAAAATAAACATGCATACGGCATCAATTTATAACTTCATATATAATATCAGTTCATTATAACAATCAAAAGGTGTTTGAAAATAATTAAAGATTATAAACAAAACTGATGCAACAATAAACCAGATTAAAGACAAACTGTCGATCGGAAAGTAACTTTGAATTGCATTTTTAGGGCCAACTATTTATCAAAGCAACATTATAATAGTCTATAAAACTTTACTTCAAAAAACAATGTGCAACCTATATACGTGATACAATCAAAACGAAAGACGGAGTGGAGACATGGAAAAGTTAAAACTTCTCATCTCCATGTTAACATTTCTCAGTTCTAATTTGAGATTTCATGTTTAAAATATCATTTGGTCTCTGGTGAAAATTTGTCTCATTGCAATCATGCCACATCTTATTATTATTTTTTGTTCGTATTTCTTAGTTCCATCATCACTTCACAACCTTTTAGAATTTGGGGTCCTCAATGGTCTTCAACTTCGTACTTTATTTGGCCTTTTATATTTTTCATTCAAGCGTCACTGATGACGTCTTTTGTAGACTAAACGCGTCTAGCGTACACAGTTTTAATCCTGATATCTATAATGAGTTTGTTTTCTACCTTGACATTTCTAAGTTCTAACTAGTTTAATAAAAATCACATTTCCATTTCCATTTCAAACTTGACATTTTGAGTTAACATTTTTTTTTATTTCCAAGTCAAAATATCCCAGTTCGAATTTGAAATTTCTTTGGTTGTCAGAAATGTCAACTTGGAACTGATGCATGTTAAAGTTGAAGTGTAAAATATTTAGTTTGAAGTGTTAAGTGTCAATTTCAAAGAGCATAATATTAACAATAGCCTTGTCACCATCGGTCTTACGTAGATAGTCACCATCGGTCTAACGTTGACTGTCACCACTGGTCTAACGTTGACACACCATCGGCCTACCGTAGATCTAAGTATTCTGAAACAAGTGATCTTACCTTGACAATTGTTTTCATCTGATCCATCATCGCACTCTGCCCATCCATTGCATTGTTCGCCCCAAACACAAGAATGGTCCTCGCATTTAATTTTTCCCGATGGACACTTATATTCTTAAAGATATATACAGAAAAAAAGTAAAACACACAAATCAATGTATAAATTATTCATTCATTGCATCACACACAAGGTCTGCTTACCCTTCATGAGCACATGAGATCCCCTCCAGTTTCTGGTCGGGCTCGTGTTGCTCGATCTTTAGTTTTCTATGTTGTGTTTCGCATAATGTTGTTTATCTTTTAGTTGCTTTTTGATTTTATGCCATGGCGTTTTCCTTTTGTCAGTTTAACTTCGACTAATGAGTTTGTATGTCTCTTTGGTATCTTCCATATCTCTCTAACACAAGATATCTACAGGTAAAAGTGTTCATACATTTCATCTCGACACCAATCTTGAAAATTGTATTTACTTAAATAAAACAAAACTAAAAACATAGAATATTCCATGAATCCCCCTATTACAATGAGACAACTGTCTATAAAGACAAATGGAAAAAGCTGTGACCAAATAGATGTCAATGATCGGCTTCCAACAATGAACAAACCCAAAACGCATTGTAAACTATAAAAGGCCACGAGACGATGAAATTTATAACAATTCAAAAGAAAGAAAAAACAACGGCACGTTTTACAACGAACGAACAACAAGTATGACAGACAGCAACAAATGACAACAATAGGATTACAGGTTAGTGGCTTGGAACATAATGATTAACAAATGCGGAAGAGTTTATATAAAAATAAGAAGATGTGGTATGATTGCCAATGAGACAACTACCACAAAAGTTCAAATGAAGTGGATGTAAGCATTAAAAGCAATCATACGGCCTTCAACAATGAGAATCAAAGCCTTAAAGGCTGTTAAAGCAATTGCTGCCAAGTTAATGTTTTTGTGACTTTTATTTTTCATCCACATGTAAAAGAATAAAACCTGACAGGATTCTTGTCTAGTGGGAAGTAAGGGTATTTTATCTTTATATCAATAAAAGACTTATCCAGCAGAAAGTCATTTTTACAATGCTTTACATTTCCCAGGAGGACGACACATTTACTAGGTTAACGGTTGAGGCAAATACATGTGCGGAAACATATAACTTACGAAGAAATCATAATAGACTATCCCCTGGTAGAGTGTTTATATCTGGCCAATAATTTACATGACAATCCATGCACCTTCCATGCTTCATTATTTTTATTGCTTTAATTTTAAATATATCATAGTTGGTTTAAATCTAACCATTCAGTTGATGATTTCAACTTTCGTGACACAAATATTCTACCGAACTACAGTTTTTGTTTCATATTAAGAATCATTCATTCATACATACCGATTAAAGATTTTGAAGATAAAACCAGCTTCTGAAATTTTCATGAAATGCATGTTAACTGTCAATTAACCTGTGAACTGGCTTACGCGTTACCCCTTTCATCACTAAGGCCAGAGGTTTTTTTTAATTTGTTGGTTTACGGATTTTCCACATGAAAAAGTCTGGTCGGTCGGTCGGGGAAAAAAAAATAAAAAAAATAAATATAAATTTCAACTTACTAACAATAATTTTGTAATGCTACTTTGTCAACATTTCTTAAATATAAGTCCAAACATTATTTTTTAAGCATACAATATGTACGTGCCATCGTCATATAATTTCGAAAAAGGGGGTATCACGCACAAACATGAAATTAAATCGTCATTTCACGACCAAGAAAAAACAGCTCCATTAGACTGATTAGAAAACATACATAGATGTTTTAGAATGACAGACCAGGAATCTGCTAGAAAAACCTTTGGCTTGATCTGGGCAGAGTCTGATCTGGGTCACAAAGATGTCTATACGCCATAGCATGAAAGCAATTGCTTTAAAAACCCATGCCGTACAGTCGGATATAAAAGGCCCCGACATAAAAAATATAAAACAATTCGATTGAGAAAACTACAGGCTCCTGAATTGGGACAGGCACATAAAGAATGTGGCGGGGTTAAATATATTTGTGAGTGCTCAATCATCCCCCTAAACTGGGACAGTAGTGTAACAGGACAACATAAGAACAAACTATAAATATCAGTTGAAAAAGGCTTAACTCATCAGATCGATACAAAGCAGAAAAAAGAATCCATAACAACAAAAAAGAGACTAAGTACAGATCTGAGAGTACTCGCAGTTACTGACAGCTAGTTCAAAGTCAATAACAACTTATAAAAAAATCATGTATCTTAGACTAAACTATCAATCAGTACACATCCAACATCCAATGGATTTAGCTGTAAAGACGTCATTAACAGTCAGAGAAAAACATGACCTTATGCAATGCCAAAAAACAGGTATCGACAGATTGTAGTACCGTGAAAGTGCATTTGTATATAACAATAATATTTAGTATGGTTTTAATTTACTGATAACAAAATCAATATTTATACCAATAAAAATAATATTCAAAGATTTAATTACTGTGTTAAATGTGTATCATTTTAGAATAAGTTCATTTAAAAGATTGATAAGTTTACCCGGATCGTATTTAAATTCACGGGCTCGGTAAACAACATCACCTTAAAATTTAGGATGTGCTTTTCCGTTTGAAATAAGTTGTCTACATGTACAGCCAAACTTGAAAATCAAATCTCGGTATCTATGGAAAAAATTAGTAAAGGTTTTAGGTAATTTGTGGTAACGAAATCCCTGACTTCATAATTTACTAGTAATACATAGATTACGCTCATTAAAATCCATTTTAACGTCACTACAGATACGGGCATAGCGAACGAGTTGGGATACATTAACACCTTAAGACGATGCCAAAGGAAAATCACCATCCAAAAAAGGAAAATTGACAATAGGGAGAGAAAAATCACCCCTATTGTCGTAAATTTTTGTGTAGAGTTTCTGGTGTAAAACTGAAATATCTAAATCTAGGAAAGGACAGTTATTGCTGTTCATATTAGATTTATTTAAAGTGAGTTCCTTTGGGTAAATTTCAGCAGTATATTTAGAGAATTTTTGATTATTTAACGAAAAAGTATCATCAAGATAACAGTAAGTGTTGTTCAATTCATCAATTAAATGGAATTTAAAAGTTTTTTTACCGAGTTTGGCTATAAAATGTGATTCATAATAACAGTATAGTCATTTACCTGTTTTTGAGCGCTCAACCCTCCCCTAACCTAGGACAATGGTGTTACACAACTTAAGAACATACTGTAAACATTTTTTGAAAAGGTTGACTAATCAAATCGGTACAAAGCACAAAAAGATAAAAAGACAATCTTAGAATTGAAAACGACAACACTCAAAGATCGTATTACAATGTTAAATTGATAACGACAACACTGAAAGATCATATTACAATGTTAAACTGATTTACAATGTTAAATTGATAACGACAACACTCAAAGATCGTATTACAATGTTAGAATTGATAAAGACAACACTCAAAAATCGTATTACAATGTTAAATTGATAACGACAACACTCAAAAATCGTATTACAATGTAAGAACTGATAACGACAACACTCAAAGATCGTATTACAATGTTAAATTGATAACGACAACACTCAAAAATCGTATTACAATGTTAAATTGATAACGACAACACTCAAAAATCGTATTACAATGTAAGAATTGATAACGACAACACTCAAAGATCGTATTACAATGTTAAATTGATAACGACAACACTCAAAAATCGTATTACAATGTTAAAATGATAACGACAACACTCAAAGATCGTATTACAATGTAAGAATTGATAACGACAACACTCAAAGATCGTATTACAATGTAAGAATTGATAACGACAACACTCAAAGATCGTATTACAATGTTAGAATTGATAACGACAACACTCAAAGATCGTATTACAATGTTAAATTGATAACTTTCAAAAATTAGTTTACTAAAAGAAATAGTGTGATCACATGGAAAACTTAGATGTATTACATAATAAACTGTATATGAGGTATACACAGAATAACTCATCTCATGTTTGCCATCCGATTTTTCTTCATTGTGTGTCTACTTGTACGACATATGGCCAAGATAGTCGAAAAGGGAATAGGAGGTGGGGTGCGCTTGATATAAATTGTTTAGGAACCTCATCATATAGTGTGTCAGTTCCAATCAAGTTTTTTAGGAGCATGCGTTATTATATCGTTGTCTTTTTTCTAGGAAGAGTCGGATGTTGATGGTTAGTACGGTCTATGAAATATTTTTGTTATATTATTTATGTATTATTTATTCATATCAAAAAGATAAAGATATGCAGTTTGTTTGTGTGTATTTGACATATTCTTTGAACTGATACGTTCAGATGAAGATAAAGACAGGGCGTTAAAGATTCTCTATTAAACATTAACACAATTACACCTAAAGGACATTTAACATTTGTACATTTAGCCAAAAGATTTTTATACTATCAATTGAAATGGTGATATCATATACTTCTTAAGGCAATTGAATTTTGTATATCAAATAAATACAAAGACGATCAAGAAGGTAAATAAAATAAAAGCAAAACTATGAATATATGAAAAGCCTTCTTAAGTAAAATGATTGTTAACTTCAATTAGTATATTTGCTTGAAAATACAACATTTAATAGTTGGCTCCTCGGTTGATGATTTAGCCTATTTTTTTTTCAGCAGATTAACAATATCAAAACATGGAAACATGCATGAGGGACACACAGCTGCGTAAAAAAGATATTAGTATAAAGATTAACATTAAAATCGAACTGCTCAATGCTTATGAGTTGAAATAGTTAAAGTGGATATTTATGGTTTAACATTAAAATTGAACTGCTCAATGCTTAAGAGTTGAAATAGTTAAAGTGGACATTTATGGTGTTGTACCTTCACAGTTTTCTTCATCCTCTCCATCCGAACAGTTTTCTGTTCCATCACATATATCTCCCTGTGCGCATGTGTCGTCTTTACATTTAACAGTTCCGTCCAAACATTTATATTCTGTAAATATTTTTCAATATCTATAATAATTGAAATTATATTTTAAAACTATTTCTGAAGTCAAGCATCTAATCCAATTTTTTAATACCTTTTTAAGATTATAAATCATACACTTTTTAATTAGCTTTGATGCAATAATAAAACTGAATGCATAACCAATCTAAATTCGGTGTCATAAATTTTATCAATCAGTTATCGGGAATTTGAATTCGAAATAAGGATTTTAAGATCCGTATCTGCAAATTTTATAATCATGAACACATATTTCATATTTTCGTATCGCCTATAGAAGAAAATTCGTTACTTCCATCATAACAAATTCTAAAAATAGGTATAAAGGATACTATAGATTCATTATCATGCGTGAGTACCATTCATATTTATATAATAATGTTGTGTTTAACATTGACTATGGAAAATAGTAGCCAGGGTGAGACACAATAGTGCACGACCCGAAGGAAGGGTAGTGCACTATTGTGTCTCACCCTGGCTACTATTTTCCATAGTCAATGTTAAACACAACATTAATATCATTATTATACAGACTGTTTATTATTTCAAATAGTGCTAATTGTGTATTTCTATGTAAAAAAAAAATCTTTATAGTATGAAAAGAAGCCCTTTATGTAACTCTGCATATATAGATATGCTGTCTTAAAGAAAGTTGATTTTGTCTACTTGACTGTTAGAAAGAGTTACAAATAAATAGATTCAAAAGTATGTGTTTTGAGGTGAAATGATTGATTTTAACTCTTTCTGAATATAAATCATTATTGAGTAGTTAAACAAGTAGAATTCTGCTTAAGCTGGTGCTAGAGGTCGTCTTAAACTTGTTATGAGGTACCTATATTTTGCTCAATTTTGAAGGCATGAACTCATGTTGACTTCAAGATGAAAAAGTACCAAAAAGACATCGTGTCATTGCTTTGATTGCCCGGTAATATTTTGGATATTGTCTAAACAAGGTTTACTCCATACCCCTTCCATTTCATTCTCATTAACATTTTCCATAGTACTTAATAACTTACAAAAAAAACCAGTGATGTGATAATAACTATTTATCTCTAACAAATGACTTATAAAGTATTGAAACAATTTTGGCTTCAACGGCAGTAAGCAGAAGTAAACAAAGAACAAAAACGTTCTAACAGAAACTTCAGTGTATTAAAGTCTCTTAAAATGTAAGAAAAATTTAAATGATAACTACTTTTTTCCCCTTATTGTTCAATTGTAATAGTTAATTAACTGTCAGGCTAATAAATCCAACCCACTTGTCTGTCAAAGCAACTAAGCTCCGCCTTTGCACGTGAAATTGAAAATGATTGACGTGAAAATCAATAGTCTGTTGCAACAGCAAGGCATACTATATTCGCATAGTGCAGTTAACGCTATATATTTCTTTCAAAAACTATGCAAAAATAGAGCAATTTTACTATAGAAGGACATTCTTACAGGAAGTATGATAATTTGTTTTAGTCCTGGCCTTTAAAAAACACAAAATATACACAGTTAACTTGTGTTACTAACTTTATGAAGTATTCAATTTGTTACCTTTGCAATTTGCCTCGTCTTCATTATCTGGGCAATTACTCACGCCATCACATCTGCTGTGAAGAGGTGTACACGTCATACTTTTACCACAATGGAACGTATAAGTTGCAGCACAGTCAGAAGCTGAAAAATGAATAAGCTTGGTTGAATAATCAGAATTCTTGAAATGTCAAAAAAACTAAGACTACTCCAACAAGAGAATAAAAAACCAAAATTATACGAAAGGTAGTCACCATGGCCAAAAGAAAACTAACCACGAATAGACAAATACAAGCTAGCCACGAGCAACATGATGTGTACCACTGTTGCAGTAGAATCTGCTTACCCTTCCGGGGCATCTGACTACTCAGTCTTTAGTGTCATCGTAATGCTTTGTAGACTGTTACAGTTGTTTGTATTTTTGTCGTTTGTCCTTTTAACTATGACACTGTCAATTCTTCTTTTCATTCATAATAAGTGGCACAACATATATACACAAGAATTTACACACCATACTTATACAATATGTGTCACACCATACATTCACAATGGGCGCCAACCATATATACACAAAAAGTGTCACATCATACTTACACAGTAACTGACACACAATACATACACAAAAATGTCGCACAAATACATATATGTACATTATAAGTGCCACACCATAATTACACAATAAGTTCCATACTATACGTACACGATAAATACCCCCCTCCCAGCCCCCCCCCCTCATTACATTAATAAAATAAGGAGATGTGGTATGACTGTTAATCAGATATCTATCAACCAAAGTTCAAATGAAGTGGATGTAAGCATTTGTAGGCAACCGTACGGTCTTCAACAATGAGAAAAACTCATACTTTATAGTTGTCTATAAAAGGCCCCAACATGAAACATGTGAAACAACTCAATTAAGAAAACGCTAATTTATAACAAAACAATTTACAAAACCGGAACAAATATGACAGACATGAACCAACGACAACCACTGAACTTCAGACTCCTGGCATGGACACATAAGATTGTGTCGGGGTTTAACATGTTTGTAAGTTTTAAACCATACATACACGATAAGTGACACGCCATACATTCACAATATAAAGTGCAATATAAAAAAGAAGATGTTGCCAATGAGACAACTCTCCACAAGAGACCAAATGACACAAAAATTAACAACTATAGGTCGCCGTACGGCCTTCAACAATGAGCAAAGCCCATACCACACAGTCAGCTATAAAAGGCCCCGAAATTACAATGCAACACTATTTTATATACTTAATAAGTGCCACACCATACTAACACAATAAGTGTCACAATATATATATATATACATGTATATAATAACACAAATACATTCACAATAATTGCCACACCATACATACACAATATGTGCAACACTATACATACACAATAGGTGCAACACCATACATACACAATAGGCGCAACACCATACATAAACAATAGGCGCAACACCATACATACACAATAGGTGCAACACCATACATACATAAATAATAAGCTCCACACCATCGTTACAAAATAAGGGCAAAAAGAGCGGAATAATTTAGAATATTGTTCTGGTATCTTACCTGAACACTGTGTTTCGTCAGCACCGTCAGAACAGTCTGGACCTGATGAATAAGCATCACACCACCATGTCGCCGGTATACACTTGCCGTCAGCCGAACAGAATCTCTCGTTATCATAACAATCATCGGCATCTACATCTACAACGGTATAATGATGTACAAGTAAATCTTTTGTAATAAAGTCAAATAAAAAAATCATATTTCGAATTTTGAAATAAGTCCTGTATTTTTACTCCTCTAGCGTCAAGAAATTTTGAGACATTTGATTTTTTGGACTGGTGGTAATCATTATGGTTAGTCTAAGTATATTCGAGGAGGAACTTTTGGACTAACACATATGCATTTGTGTACATCTCAGATAAAGTAATGTCATTCGGTATATCGAGTAAAAAGATCATGAAAGAATACATAACGGTGGTCAAGTATTGCGATTGGATCGTGAAAGCTCTGGTATAGGATCGTGAAGAAAATCTTATGGAGAAGACATATGCAAGGTCAATTACTGATTTAATTAAATGAATTATACGGACAAATTTACAAAAAAACATATATCTGTCTGTCAAAATGGTTCAACATTATGATCAGTATCTGAGAAAAATCAAGGTTTAAAAGTAGTCCGTTTTTACAAAACTACAAAAGGCAGATTGCTCTTCGACATTTCAATGACATTAAATATGTAAACAAACAAGATTTTTTTCATAATTCGTATGAATAAATAACTTTTCTTTGAAAATATTCATTCCACTTAATGATTCAAATGGTTCTTAAAGTTATTTTGTGTTAGCATCGTCAGAAATTTTGCAAAAATTGAAATATTTACAAAAAATTGATTTTTTGGATCGTGAAAGATAGCGTACCGCTTTTTGAATATCGTGAAAAGGATCGTGAAAGAATTGATGCTACGAAAACGTTCAAATCATTATTCAATTATATGATAATTTATATTTTTAATTGGTATAGCAAATATTGGATTTGCACGACTCATTCCGGTTCTCTTTTGTTGGTAAATTGGGCTATAATCGTCCAATGCCATTGGATATGATCATCTTATAATACCACACCAACTATGTGCTTTATAGCAATATCAGTCTTTTTGTCCATCCTTCATAAGTTTTGATTTCTTATACAAATTTTTAAGATTGAGAATAGAACCTAATCGACTACAGTTCAAGCTGGGCATCATGCACAATCGATCTCGAGGTACGTTGATTGGTAATTTCTCCACTAAGCTGGTATAATGACGGTATAGCTAGCTACATGTATTGTGAACAGACTGATCAAACAATCGAGTGAAAATAACGTTATTTTAGTTTATGTCAGCGCAGCCACGAAATAAACAATAAATTTGCTAAATTTGTCATACGATGTTAGCACTAACGACACTCCTCACAACCAAAGGTAACAACACTTACAAACACAAGAAAATGCGTACACATGCATATGTTAGCGGCAATAAGTGAAATTGGGCATCGAGCTTAAATACTAGGCAATAAGCTAACGCCTAGGCATCAAGTTATTGCCTGAAATTTCCAGGCATTAAGCTTATTTCTTGAAATCTGATGATGATTATTCAACCTATTGCCAAACATCATTTCAGGCAATAAGATAATTTTGGGATTTTTGTTTATCGTCCATATACATGTTAATTAGGTGAAATATTTTTCATTAATAATATTTAGAAAATTATAGTCCAAAAAATAATATAAACTGATTTAAAAGATCTTTAATTTTTAGCATTTTTTTCGTATTCAAAACAGAACTTACTCGTATTTTTGGTGTTATTGCTCTTCAATGGTCGAGCCGCTTTAAGCTGGTCAAAAATATAAAATTTTGCCAGTCACATCATCGTTTCATCTGTTTTATTGGATATGTAAATTTTCCTAAATACCCTTCTTGTCTTTTCACTTCTTAATCTGGATTGTTAGCGGAATATCAGGGAAAACAAAGATCATGTACCCAAGGCAAAAGTACAATGATCATTTGGCAAGATTAAACTTTCAAAATCAGAAAATAAGGCAACTATAGACTATTACAATTTAAAGTGGTATGACAATTTTTACCATTGGAGGTTTGAAAGACTGGTAACTAAGGTAATAGAGAATGTTGAGGGAAATTTCTAAGTTTATGTTTTTCTAGAGGAATTGTATTGCCGTGGTATTTTGGGAAAAACACATGAAGAAATGTCAAAGCGGCCTATCATTATTATAGAACGTAGGATTAAACAACCTAATAATGGCTTTGCAAGCATTTCCATGATTTCATTGTACTGTTTCTTCCATTTTGTACTTTTTTTAATGAACATTTGCGCTTAACTTTTTAGGACATTTGCGATTTTTTCAACAGAACATAAAAAATCATTTAATATAAAAAACACAAAACATTCATACATTTATATACATCTAAAAGCATCAACCTTTGCCCATTATGCTTGTGTCAGATGAAAACGACAAGATCCAAGAGGGTGGATTGGAGTAAATTCCTTATAACAACCATGACTCTTTCTAAAAGTCAACAGGTACAGCAGGTGGTTTAAAAATAAAATTTCGGTCTTCACAAACTGAAACAATCTTAGATAAACTATGATAATGCAGTTCTTCGGACTATTCATACAAAAGAATAACCGTTTCCAATTTTAATCCACTAATTAATAAGAAAGCTAATTGAAGAATTTCGGTCAAAATTTAAATGTTCCATCCATAAAAGTTTCGTTTTCTCTATCGTTTACCCAGAAACGTATGCTATATTTTTTATAATATGTCTGGTTTACCCGAATAATTTATTCCTTTCAAAGAATATGTCAACATTTTTCCATGACTTTGGTAAATTTTCTAAAGATAACAGGTATGTGTGTGTTTTTCTATGTTGTGATGTTACACTATTCTTTCAGATAAGGGTGAAGGTTTGGTACCATTAAAACGTTTAAACCCGCTGCAATTGTTTGCACCTGTCGTAAGTCAGGAATCTGATGTTCAGTAGTTGTCGTTTGTTGATGTGGTTCATAAGTGTTTCTCGTTTCTCGTTTTTTATATAGATTAGACTGTTGGATTTCCCGTTTGAATGGTTTTACACTAGTAATTTTTGGGGCCCTTTATAGCTTGCTGTTCGGTGTGAGCCAAGGCTCCGTGTTGAAGACCGTACTTTGACCTATAATGGTTAACTTTTATAAATTTTGACTTGGATGGAGAGTTGTCTTATTGGCACTCATACCACATCTTCTTATATCTATATAACTATTGTAGGTAAAAAGCGCAAATGTTCAGGTGTATCAAAGTTAAAAGCGCAAATGTCCGTAGTCTTTGAAGCGCCAATGTCCTTTAGTGTTACAGGTTAAAAAGCACAAACGTCCTGCGTCCGTCTGGTCACGCCTTGTCTTTCACTACCAAGATAATGCGTTGTCCGATCTTTCACGATCAATTATGATGAAAAATAAACAAAATTCAATGTTTTCAAAAACAAAACGAACGATTTTAAAAGAAAACCCCTTTTATTTTACTGTACAATCTGACACACCAAAGATTCAGTTTCAAATATATCAATATATATTACAATGTGACCATTACAGGTACAAAACGTGTTGTTTTTTAAATGAATCCCATAGACTAGTGTTGCGCCTTTTCTGTTTTCTCATAAAGTACTGCATATTTTCTTTATCTTATTGTTATTATAAAGTTGAAGCATTTTGACAGACATAATTTTTTTTCGAATTTGTTCCGCGTTTTGAAAATACAGCAGATTTTTCACAGATTTTGAAGTAGAATTACAATTAATAACACTCACGATCCGATACCATATCTTTCACGATCCGATCGCAATGCTTGACCACCGTTAGGTATTCTTTCACGATCAATTTTCTCGATATACCGAATGACAGCCGTGAATATGTGTCTGTTGTGAAATACCTTTCACAAAAATATCATATTTGTTTCTTTCTTTTATGAATAAATTTTATACTAGTTGGATTATGGAAGGAACTTTGTAGAGATTAAAACTTATGGCAGTCGTCATATATACTTATGTAAAAACTAATTTTATCCTTTAACTGATACAATTTTGTTATTATTGTGTATAAATTAATATAATCACAATGGAAGAGGGTATTGTTTGCATGCAACTAAATATTATTACATTTTCAATTATGGAAACAAAATTTAGATGCATTTAACAAGATAATTTGGAAAGATTCAATTGTATTTCAAAACCTTATAACCACAGTAATTCTTTATTATTATTAACTCCACTGAATAAAATATGATTAAATAGTACCTGCTATGATGCCAGAAATTCTGAAAACAAGACACACAAACAACAGAAGCGACACATTCTTCAAACACATATCGCACAGTTTAAGAAGCTAGTCCTGGAAAAAAAGAAGTTTGCTAACTAAAAGCCCGACAGATTAAGTAGTTAACAAGATTCATCTTATTTAGAGTTGATTTTCCCTACAGCTTGATATATGTCCATTTTGTATTGTTTGGGCATTATTTTGCAAGCTCTGCTACTAGAATCATGAACACTACGTGTAGCTATAAAAAAATAACAATTGGGTGAACTCGTCACTCTAACATTTCTTGGCTAATTTTAAAACGTTTAGAACAATTTTTGCTTAATACTAATTATGTAATATATCCTGCATGAATTATTTACTTTGTAAATCCGTAGAAAGTAATTACTTTATCACTTATTATAGGTTTGGGATGTAGTCCATTGCATACTAATTACATATATCCATTCTTTCTCAAGTTTATCAAAACAAAACCGTCCAAACAAAGGGCGACATAATTCCTTCAATTCTATGGAAAGCGGTTTTGCTTCAGTCGTATACACAATTAGAACATTCAGATTGGCATGCATCTGTAAGTTGCATACTAGTAAATTAATCTTGCATATTCAACGTGCATGTTGATAGTTTAAATAATAGTAAACACCTAAGAAAGAGACCTGTATAAGCTCAAGAAACATTGCAACACCTTACCTTGTTTTGTAACCGCTGAGTCACTAACATATTGCATACGTTTATATATGTTTGTTTCATCGGTTGACCAGTTCTCATATAACTATAAAGATGACAAATATTCGAATTCATTTAAAACTTAAAACATTGGGTATATATAAACGAAAGGTTAAATCAAAATAAAGCGTAATATATTTCTACTGCGACATACTTAGTGCAGTTAAAACAGTAAAAGAAACGAGTTGATAGTCTCTGTTTTTAAAATGTTTATAAACTCTGGCCGATTAAGAGCTTGACAATTTGTATAGAAGCCTGTTGTTGTCAACCGTATGTGTTTCTAGATGTGTTTTTGCTTTTCTGTTTTAGGTTGCTACGTCATTCACGCATATGGCACATCTCTTTTTTTTATACACAACAACGGCATACAATTTAAGTTCTTTTTTGTTAATCACTCAATTTAAAAGTACATGATTGTCGGTCATTAAAGACATTCGAAACATCTAAATGTACCTTTCTTTTGTTTTTTTAGAGGATATTTATTATTTTGAGTGTAATAGAGATATTAACAAGTGCGCAACCATTTACTTTGCGGAAATTGTAAAAGTTACAGTGTATAAAACCCATATCACGAAAAAACCTTAATACGAGTTTTACTTCCTAGAATTTGATGGGCAAGACTTCCTTTTAAACCCCGTGTCATGTATGTTTATACTTGTTCGGTCAACAGAGGGTGTTCAGAGGAAGTCTTTTCCTGTATAAAGGTAAATACTAAAATAAAAAGATGTGATATCATTCCAAACGACACAGACCAAAGGACAAAAGTGTAAACACCGCAGGTCACAAAACATCCTTCAACAATGGGCAAACATCAATTACGTATATCCCCGGGTAAACAAATATGAATGGCAACGGCTCGATTGAAGTCAAAAACAAAAACAACAACACAAAAATAACAGCGTTGCCAGTATTTCGACAAAAGTTAGCAATCCAATGTATTCCAATATATCTAAACATCAAGTCAAACAATTATTATGATAGATATCAGTATTTTTGAAATGTATATAATTTTAACTGCATCACCTGCTTGCAGTAAAATGAGATTGACACTATAGTATTTAACATTTTTGTTTTAAGCTTCACTGAGATAAAAATGATTTACAATATTTGGAAAAAAAACTAGAGATTATTGCAGCTAGTATATTGTAAGTCGTCACAGATGTTTGGAACATCAATGGAACTTTTGTGCCACATCAATGTTGTATTTGTGTATTTAATTGAAATAAATAAACGACGACAATTTTGTTCTGTACGACCTGTTTCTTTGTAAACTAAAAAGGGTATACTGAAGGTCAGAAGTTCAGAAAAATAAAAACACAACAAAAGGAGCCTACTGTTAGATAGAATAGTAAACGTGAAAGATAATTATTTGTTTATTTGTCATTTATTTTTTTCAATGGTGTCTTTGATTTTACAGTATTCATTGTCCTATCTCATGTTATGCGGATATTGTGAATATTAGATTATTTGGTTATATCTTTTGAGAGAATGGAAAAATCAGTGTTTTTCTTTTATCCTTTTCCATTGCATTTGACTTGGCACTGGTTTGAGATTAGCTGTTTTATTTTAGCAAAGCCCTATCTAATAATTTATTACAGTTCTTGAGTTGAACATTTTCCACGTTGGTTCATGCGACACGGACTCATTATAGAATCTTCAACATGTTGCTTTTGGCCTATATAAAGGTAATATGGTGTGCAGTACTTCTGATTGAATTAAGTACAAATATGATTAAATAAGAAGTAAATGTGTTTCCAATCGCCATTATCCAATTTCATGGTAGTATTTCAGTTTGTTGGTTGTAACATTTGTACTTTTTAAACTGACGTAGGAAAACAAATTCCTTGAATACCACTAAATATAATATAAATTAGGAATAAAAAGAACATTAGGTGAATTTAAGTAATAAAACATTAAAAGTTAAGATAATTCTTGATTGACATATATTACAAAAATAAACAATTTAACCAATGATCACGTTAAACAGCTTATAATTATGACCTGTGACCAACCATAAAATATAGTTTATTGTAGTAATCTGATTTATCATTCTTTTGTAAGAGTAGAAATAATTCATTCCCTCAAAACAATTTCTACTGATATACAGTACTCAGTGATACACGAGGAATCCTAACATCGTAATGATAAAATGTTGATTCGTGTTATAATCTTTACATGTTTGATCTACATTGCACGGTGTAATAGTTACTATCCAAGGAATAGTGGATATGGTGGTTACAGACCACCGGCTCCGTGTATAGTCTCGCAATGGGCCACATGGGGACAGACGGACTATTTTGGAATCCAAAGAAGATACAGATGGATAATAAGACATCCTACACATAGCGGGGGAATTTGTCCTTATTTGACCGAAACAAGAACAGGTAAAAATATCCCTCTCATCATCCTCTTCATCATCTTCCTCAACCTTTGATATTCTTAAATTTGTACTTCATATTGCAATCTTTATATAAAAAACCGTGTCATTTAAGAAATCATGGTTTGATTTGTTTTAGAGAAAGGCTTATAACTTCACGTATGTGGCTGAAGGCACTGAAAACATTAAGCCATTTTTCTTGGCTTTTTTCAAATGAAACACATTTATAAAGTATTCAAAAATGTAATTTTATACTAGTAGGCAATGACTAATTTGGAGCATTCTTCACCTCAAATAACAAGGATTGACATTTTAAATAAAACCCAAAATTCTGTCCGGAGTAAAACCTATATGCAGTTTCCTTTACGATACAAATTGATTCATATAAAAATAAGGAGATGTAGTGTGATTGCCAATGAGACAACTATCCACCAATTTGCAGATGAAGTAGCCGATGTAAGCAATTATAAGTAACTGTACGGCCTTCAACAATGAGAAAAAACCATATCGTATAGTCGGCTATAAAAGGCCCCGACATGAAAAATATGAAACAATTCAAGTGAGAAAACTAACGGTCTAACTTATAACAAAACAATTTACGAAAAACAAATATGACAACAACCACTGAACTACAGGCTCCTGACTGGGGACAGGCACATAAAGAATGTGGCGGGGTTAAATATGTTTGTGAGCGCTCAACCCTCCCTGGGACAGTGGTGTAACAACACAACATAAGAACAAACTATAAAAATCAGTGGAAAAAGGCTTAACTCATCAGATCGATTCAAAGCATAAAAACATCAACATAAACACAGACCGGACGTGACAGGGTATTTATCCATCCCTCATCTCTAACAACAAAAAGGACACTAAGTACAGATCTGAGAGTACTCTCCAGTTACTGTAAGTTCAAAGCCAAAAACATAAAAAAAATAACCCCAAAAAAAATCATGTATCATGTATCTTAGACTAAAATATCGATCAGTTCACATCCAACATCCAATGGATTTATTATAAGACGTCATTAACAGTCAGAGAAAAACAGTTAATTTTTAAATAAGCTGTATTAGTTCATGTTTTTTATCAAATTTTCTGAATGTGTAATCGTCTACGATCCAAATTTCTCGTCATTCGTATTTCTTATGATGAAAACACGTTTTAATATATTTCATATATACCATAAACAGCGCCTTGTAATTGTGAGGTTGGACATTGGACGTCATGGAGTGTTCCGAATCTGTCGGGTGTTAGTTTTAGGAAGAGAAACGTATTAAAACGACCATCATATGGAGGAAGGCCATGTCCAATAGTGTACCAGACTAAAAAAGGTATTTTGTTTTTATTGATACAAGTACATATCTGTTACAATGTGTGTGTATCGGTGTATCAAGCATTAATAGAGTACAGTAACATTGACATATATATATATAGTGTTTAAATAGGTTTCAAACACTGTTTTGGCAATTTGGTCTTTCAAAGTGTAAACCAAGGGAAAATAATCTAACGTACCAATCTCATTCAATAAATAATAAATATGCAAATCATATGAAAATTATAGAAAATATCGTTTTACGTTTTACTGTATTTGTTTTTAGGCTGCTGCAAAGTTAAATTTACCGATAAAGAGTTACCGTTCGACGTTAAACTTCGATTATTGATTCATAAGTTTCTTGTTAATTCTTTTAGTTGCAAAAAACTGTGTGGTAAGTCTGTGGTCATTATGGAGTCAAGTGGATTCACAGGGGTTTCGGCAACGGACCAGAATTATTTTACAGCGACCATGTGCTGGCGGCAGACCATGTCCACCATTGGTTGAAACAATGAGAGGTAACTGCTATTTTAATGTAGATATTATTTAAATTATGAACTATCTTTTCAAATGAAAACCGTTGAATGGGTATTAGCTATCAGTTCGTGTCGACACGAGCACTGCATTCATATTGTCGCCAAGCAAGGGTTCGGATTGAT